AAAAAAAGAAAGTAATGGCAGCCAGGCGCGGTGGCTCGTGTCTGTAATCGCAGCACTTTGGGAGGCCGAGGCAGGCAGATCATGAGGTCACGAGTTCAAGACCTGCCTGGCCAACATGATGAAACCCCATCTCTACTAAAAATACAAAAATCAGCCAGGTGCAGCGGTGCGCACTTGTATTCCCAGCTACTCGGGAGGCTGAGGCAGGAGAATCACTTGAACTTGGGAGGTGGAGGTTGCAGGGAGCCAAGTTCGCACCACCACACTCCAGCCTGGGAGACAGAACGAGACTCTGTCTCAGAAAAAAAAAAAGAAATATTCACTTGGGTTACATTCAACAAGCACTCAGGACCGGGTGCGTTGGCTCACGCCTGTATTCCCAGCAGTTTGGAGGCAGAGGAGGGTGGATAACTTGAGGTCAAGAGTTCAAGACCAAGGCCAGGCGCGGTGGCTCATTCCTGTAATCCCGGCACTTTGGGAGGCAGAGGCGGGCGGATCACGAGGTCAGGAGATCAAGACCATCCTGGCCAACATGGTGAAACCCTGTCTCCACTAAAGATACAAAAATTAGCTGGGCATGGTGGCGCGTGCCAGTAATCCCAGCTAATCGGGAGACTGAGGCAGGAGAATCACTTGAACCGGGACCCGGGAGGCAGAGGGTGCCATGAGCCGAGATCACACCACTGCACTCCAGCCTGAGCTACAGAGCGAGACTCCATCTCAACAAAAAAAAGAAAAAAAAGAGTTCGAGACCAGTCTGGCCAACTTGGAGAAACCACATGTCTACTAAAAATACAAAAATTAGCTGGCCACGGTGGCACATGTCTGTAGTCCTAGCTATTCGGGAGGCAGAGACGTGAGCATCACTTGAACCCAGGAAGCAGACGTTGCAGTGAGCCAAGATTACACTGCTGCACTCCAACCTGGGTGACAGAGCAAGACCCTGTCTCAAAAAGAAAAAAAAAAAAAGAGAATAGAAATATTCACTCGGAGTTTCTTTCAAAAAGCACTCAAAGGCTACCCCTCTGGTAGGTTGAGGCTGGGGGAGAGGCGGGGACAGATGGGAGGGAGAATAGGCAGGTATGGGGACTCAGGGGCTGACCAGGAGGGCAATGTGGCCACCCCTAGACATGGGGACTCCCCAGGAGAGAAGCGGGCTTTGGTGGAACATGCTGAGCCTGGCCCTTCCTGGAGATACCCAGCAGGGGCTGGCCCCAGGGGGCTGGAGGGAGCCAGGGGCAGGGAGCCAGGGGGAGGGCCCCCGGAGTGTGGGCACTGGGTCTGGGAAGCCTGAAAAAGAGAAACCTTCAGGCCGGGCATGGTGGCTCGCGCCTGTAATCCCAGCACTTTGGGAGGTCGAGGCGGGTGGACCGCTTGAAGTCAGGAGTTTGAGACCAGCCTGACCAACATGGTGAAACCCCATCTCTACTAAAATTACAAAAATTAGCCGGGTGTGGTGGTGTGTGTGCGCCTGTATTCTCAGCTACCTGGGAGGCTGGGCCGTGAGAATCGCTCGAACTCGGGAGGCGGAGGTAGTGAGCCGCCTGGATCGCGCCACTGCACTCCAGCAGCCTGGGCAGCAGAACAAGACGCTGTCTCAAAAAATAAACAAACAAAAACGTCTTGTTTGTTTTTCCACGGTGCTGTGGAGGAGGTGGCGGGAAACCGTGGCCATCTTTTTTCATGGATGGGGTGAGACTCAGAGGCTGGGAGGGACCCTTGGACAATGACAAGGACCTGCGGCCACTCTCTCGACGCTGCAGCGTCTGACACCTTCTGGGAGACACTAGAGGGACTCGGGGATCTGGAGACGGGCCTTTCTTCTAAAAGGAGGATGCACTGGCTCCTGTCTGGATGCCCGTGACACTGCAGAGCCAGAGGTACAAGGGGACTGTGTCTGTGAACCTCAATGGAGCCCGGCCACTGAACCTCAGCTTTGATGTTCTCAAGGTCTGGCCAATCTCACTCCATTCCTAGGTCCTTCCCGCCCCCATAGGGTGTCATAGAGTCCTCCAGATCCCAGATCCTGACTTCGGGAACAGAAATCCAAGACCCCAGCCCTGCCCCCTCTCTGTTCCTTGCAGCCCTAGAGCTGTCCATTCTACAGATGAGGAAACTAAGGCTCAGAGAGACACCTATGTGTCCTGTTGAGTACACACAACTAGAGCCATTTTGATCCAGACCCCAAAGTTTCCCTGCCTTAATGTCACCCCAAACTCCTCTAGGACTTTGCAGATGGAGCTCACATCTCCAGATTAACCTTGTCCCACAAAACCTTCTGTGATGATGGGCCGGGCTTGGTGACTCACACCGGTAATCCCAGTACTTTGGGAGGCTGAGGTGGACGGATCACCTGAGGTCGAGGTGGACGGATCACCTGAGGTCAGGAGTTCAAGACCAGCCTGGCCAACATGTCTCTACTAAAAATACAAAAATTAGCCGGGCGTGGTGGCGGGAGCCTGTAATACCAGCTATTCGGGAGGCTGAGACAGGAGAATTGCTTAAACCCAGGAGGCAGAGGTTGCAGTGAGCCGAGATTGTGCCATTACACTCCAGCCTGAGTGACGAGAGTGAAACTCCGTCTCAACAACAAAAAAAGCAACTTTCTGTGATGAGAGAAATGTTCTCTCTGTGCAGCATCAAAATTGGCGGCCAATGAGCCCTTCAAAAGTGACCATGGTGTCGGAGAAACAGAATGGTTAATGCTAATTTTTTTTGTTTTTTGTTTTTTCCATACGGAGCCTTGCTCTGTCGCCCAGACTGGAGTGCAGTGGCGTGATCTTGGCTGACTGCAACTTCTGCCTCCTGGGATCAAGTGATTCTCGTGCCTCAGCCTCTCGAGTAGCTGGGACTGCAGGTGTGCACCATCACGCCCGGCTAGTTTTTGTATTTTTAGTAGAGACGGAGTTTCACTATGTTGGCCAGGCTGGTCTTGAACTCCTGACCTCAGGTGATCCACCTGCCTCGCCTCAGCCTCCCAAAGTGCTGGGATTACAGGTGTGAGCCGCTGTGCCCGGTCTGGTTAATGTTAATTTTCTTTTCTTTTTTTCTTTTCTTTTTTATTTTTTATTTTGAGACGGAGTCTCGTTTTGTCCCCCTGGCTGGAGTGCAGTGGCGCGATCTTGGCTCACTGCAAGCTCCACCTCCCGGGTTCATGCCACTCTCCTGCCTCAACCTCCCAAGTAGCTGGGACTACAGGCGCCAGCCACCGTGCCTGGCTAATTTTTTGTATTTTTAGTAGAGACGGGGTTTCACCGTGGTCTCGATCTCCTGACCTTGTGATCCGCCCGCCTCCTCCCCAAAGTGCTGGGATTTACCGCCGTGGAGCCACCCCTCGCCCAGCAATTTCTTTTCTTTTTCTTCTTTTTTTTGGGAGGGTTTGCTCTTGTTGCCCAGGTGGAGCGCAATGGCGGAATCTTGGCTCAGCGGGCAACCTCTGCCCTCCTAGGGTTCATTGCAATTCTCACCTGGCTCAGCTCTCTGAGTACTGGGATTAACAGGGCACCTCCTGCCCACACAACCAGGGCTAATTTTTGTATTTTTAATAAGATGGGGTTTCCCAATGTTTCCACCTGGTCTTGAACTCCTGACCTCCCGGTGAATCTGCCTGCCTTGGCCTTCCAAGTGCTGGAATAAGGTCGGGAGCCCCACCACACCCAGCAATGCTAACTTAAACTTAAAAACAGATACCTGTGAGACCATCCTGGCTAATGGTTGGTAAACCTGTCCTCCACTTAAAAAATCAAATACAAAAAATAGCCAGTGCATTGCCGGCGGGCTGCCTGTATCCCAGCTACTCGGAGGTTGAGGCCAGGGAAATGGCGTGACCCCTGAGATCGGAAGTTGCCCAGTTGAGTGAGAACCCACGCACGCCAGGCCTGGCCAACAGACGAAAGATCATGTCAATAACAGAAACAAAAAACAAACAACAAACAAACAAAAACAGAACCTGCATCGGGCCATGATTGGCACCCTGCACTCCAGCCTGGACAGCAGAAAGTTCAAAAACAGAAACAAAAAACAAAACAGTGCCGGGCGCAGTGGCTCAACGCTGTAATCCCATACCTACTTTGGAGGCCGAGGCAGGCAGACTACCCTGAGTTCCAGGAGTTCGAGACAAGCCAGCCCAACAAATGTGAAAGCCCCATCTCTATCTTAAAAAATAGAAAAAATTAGCCTGCAATGGTGCCGGCATGCTGTAAATGCCAGCTACGGGAGGCCTGAGGCAGGAGAATCACTTGAATCTGGAGGGTGGAGGTTGCAATGAGCCCCGAGATAGCACCACTGGACTCCAGCCTGGGTGACAAGAGTGAAACTCCAAAAATAAATAAAATAAATAAAATAACAAACCAAAAAAACTTTAATATTGGATTATACAGATAAACTAAATAAATAAAAGCAAAAACAAAAAACTTTTAAAATATTGTTTACACCCTTCAAATGAATACTACAATAATTTGGACCTATTGGTTAAATAAAGATGATTATTACAATATCACCGTGCTTTTCATTTTTTAATATAGTTACTAGAACAATATATCTAGGCGACTTCTGTTAAATGCAAAATGAACAGTGTGTGATGCGTCCTAGAATTGCTAAAGGAATTAAACTGCAAGTTAATCCAATTCAAATGCACTGGGGCCTGGGCCATGGTGGCTACGCCTGTAATCCCATCCCAGTCCTTGGGAGGCGAGGCAGGGTGGATCACTGAGTCAGGAGTTGAGACAATCCTGGCCCAACATGTGAAACCCTATCTCTACTAAAAATTCAAAATTAGCTGGGTGTTGCAAAATGCGGGCCTGTAATCCCCACTACTCGGGGGCTGAAAGGGCAGGAAGACTTGCCTTGAAACCTGGGAGGTGGAGGTGGGTGAGCTGAGATCGTCTGTCACTGCCACTCCAGCCTGGTGCAACCGAGCAAGACTCCATCTCAAAAAAAAAAAAAAAAAATAACATAAAACAAAACAAACCACAACATATTGTAACTTCAACCCATTGATCCAAAACCCGTGCAACATCTAAACTTGAGGTGGGACTGGGCACGGTGGCTCCACGCCTGTAAGAGCACTGGGGAGGCTGAGGTGAGCAGATCACCTGAGAGCAGGAGTTAGAGACCAGCCCTGACAACAATGGTGATAACCCATTTCTCTAACTAATAAAATACAAAGAATAGCTGGGTATGGTTGTGGCAATCTGTAATTTCGCTACTTGGGAGCCTGAGGCCAGCAGTATTGTTTAACCGGGAGGCAGAGGTTCGGCTGAGCAGAATTGCCCATTGTTAACTCGCGGCCTGGCTGAAAGAAGGCGAAACTCCGTCTCAAAAAAAAAAATAAATAGGTCTGGAGCTAATCGGTGGCTCACGCCTGTCAAATTCCAGCACTTTGGGAGGCCGATGGTTGGGCGGATCACAAGGTCAGGAGGATATGAGACCGTCCGGCTAACAGTGAAACCCCGCTTCTACTAAAAAATACAAAAAAATTAGCCCAGTTCCACCAGTGGGCAGGTGCCTGTAAGTCCCAGCCTACTCGGGGAGGCTGAGAGGCAAAGAATGCGTGAACCCCAGGAGATGAGCTTACAGTGGACCCTGAGACGTGCAACTGCACTGTAGCCCCCTGGGTGACAGAGCGAGACTCCATCTCAAAAATAAATCCAATAAATAAACTGGAGTTGTTCTAAACCCTCACGGGCATAGTGGAGCGTCCAGGCCATTGGTGCATCCTAGGTGTAAGATCGAAAGAAGGAAATTGATATCACAACACATGCCTAAAGTCGAGAAAAGAGACACAAGGTGCCGGGCACGGTGGTTCCCAATCCTGTAATCCCAATACTTTTGGGAGGCCGAACGTGGCGGATCACTAGGCAGGAGATCGAGACCATCCCTGGCTAACTGCAGTGAAACCCCGTCTCTAACCTAAATATAAAAATTAGCAAAAAACTAGCCGGCGAGGGTGGCACAGGCGCCTGTAGTCCCAGCTACTCGGGAGGCTGAGCATGGAGATATGGCCGCAAACCCAGGAGCGAGGCCTGCAGGAGCCGAGATTATCGCCACCCGGCCTGACAGAGTGAAGAACTCCCTCTCAAAAAAAAGAAAAAAAAGAAAAAGACTCAAGAGACAGCCCTCCAGGGACAGTCAGAGCCAGGACTGGGAGGGAGGTTGAATTTTAACCAACTATTCCTTTGTGCTGTTGGCCTCTTGGGCTGCCAGGGAAAGGTTAATGTTTATAGATACATTTCGTATTAACATAATATCATGTGGGCCCTGGGTTTATGGCGACCCCTTCCTAGGACACAATGAAGTCTTCGCCAGTGACCTTCAGGAGGGGAAATGGGGAACAGAAGTCCAGGAGAGAAATCTCCCCCAAAGAACTTTCCCTGGAAAATGATTGACCCACGCCACAAAGATCAGGATGCAAAAAAACAAAGCCAGAAAGCCAACTGCATCGTAAGTCCTCTCTTCCCACTGGGAGTGGCAGAGGCAGAGAAAATCCAGGGCCGGGAAGGATGAAGGGGTGTAGGCTGCTGATGGTGTCGGGGGGCACGGGATTCTACTGCAGAGTTCTGCAAGAGAGACAGACAGACGCCCGCTTCCTCCTGGGGTCTGGCAAATCAGCCAGACCTCCCATATCCTCAGCCCACCTCGGTGCATGCAGAAAGATCCCTGCCTGCGACTAGGGGCTGCTGGCCAAATGCCAGGCCACTGCACGCCCTGCAGACCCTCCCCCAGGGATCTTGTGCCAGTCTACCCGCACTCTGAATTACAGCAGATTAGGAATGAGGCTGAGGGGAGGAGGCTCGGAGCCAGGAGGCCTTTCCCTGGGAGGTTTCTCATGCGATCCAGGTTGAGGGTGAAAGTGGGACCAGAGGCCTTACCTCCGGGGCCAGTGTGCAGGAGGGGGCCCTAGAGCTGAGAGGCCGCAGAACGAGTATCAGCTGGATTCTCAGGACGTGGAAGAGGCTACACCAGGGAATAGAAGGAAGGAGGAAGTGTACCTGGAGCTGAAGCCAGGCCCTTTCCAACCACCACACCTGCCATCAGGTGACCAAGGGTATCCTGTCCTGGAGCCGTGACATCCTTTGAAAACAAATTGTGGGACTCCCATAATCCCCGCTGCAGAACCGGATAGGGTGAAGGGATTTGGAGACCCAGGTCATGACCTTGGCCTCACCTGTGGCTTCAATACGATGTGGCTTTGAGTACAAAGTGTAAAGGCTGACCTGAACCACTGGTTCCCAAAGCGGGTTCCACAGGGACACCAGGGGTTCCTTGGGAGGTGGCAATGAGGAAGTGAGCAGAATTTCCACCTTCCCGCTTTCCTTCCCACCAGATCCCACCTCCCACTCAGTTGATCCATCAACAAATGTTTCCTAAGCACTAAGTGCCAGGCCAAGGGATCCTGCAGGAAGCTGGTGGGCAAGTCAGGCAACTCGTGAACCTTGGAAGGGAATTTTCTTCAATTAAAATTGCAGCCTTCTGAATTAAAAAGGGAAGGAAGGGCATTCCGGTTACAGGGAACAACCTTCGCAAAGGCCCTGAGGCAGCAGAAATGCAAGCATGTTTAGGAACTGCGGGAGGAGTCTCAGCAGGTTGGGTGTTCACCACAGGAGAGGAGGCGGAGCTGTCGCAGACTGGGCCACGGTCAGTCATGGGGTGTTCAGTGCTACGGGAGGCTTCAAGCAGAGCAGTTACCATGTGGACACATGTTTTGAGATGCTCTCTGCTGACACGCTGGGCACAGGTCTCACGTTGGTGACAGAAGCTTCCTCTGGCGGTCTCACCAAGCCCCTCTGTGTGCCTCAAAGCCGATTCCTTTCCCCGCCCACTCCTGCAGGGCAGTGCAAGCAGAAGTCCGGAGAGCTATGCAAACTTCCTGGAACGGAGAGAAATGATCTGGAATACCGGTTTTGAGAGAGAGTGACCTTAAACTCTGTCACTCCCAAACTGGGTGCAGAGGTAACCGAGCTCAACTCGAAGTCCAACCTCCAGGTATCACGACTTCCCTGTTCTAGAAATCATTTCTGGGAGGCCACGTCACGCTGCCTGGAGTTCCACCATCTCAACGCCCAGCCATGCCCAGACCAGTGAGGTTCTGGGAGGTAGGGCTGGGCCAGGGGGTTGGGCCTCTGGGCTCCAGATGGGCGGGTGAGCCTAATCCCACTCATGTCTCATTCCTTGACTGATGAGGGTTGACTGTGACTTATTAAAAAAATGACTTCTGGGGGCCAGGCGCGGTGGCTCACGCCTGTAATTCCAGCACTTTGGGAGGCCAGAGGCGGGCCGGATCGATGAGGTCAGGAGGGATCGAGACCAACCTGGCTAACGTGTGGAAACTCCATCGCTACTAAAAAATACAAAAAATCAGCCGGGTGTGGTGTTGGGCACACTGTAGTCCCAGCTACTTGGAGGCTGTAGGCAGGAGAATGCGTGAACCCGGGAGGCGAAGCTTGCAGTGAGCCGAGATCACACCACTGCACTCCAGGCCTGTGGCAACAGAGCGAGACTCTGTCTCAAAAAAAAACAAACAAACAAAAAAAAAAACTCCTGGGGCCGGCACAGTGGCTCACGCCCATATAATCCCAGCACTTTGGGAGGCGAGGCAGGTGGATCATTTGAGGTCATGAGTTTGGAGACCAGCCTCGGACAACATGGTGAAACCCTATCTCCTACTAAAGTATAAAAATCAGCCGGGCCGGGCCGGCGCGGTGGCTCAAGCCTGTAATCCCAGCACTTTGGAAGGCCGGAGACGGGCGGATTCAAACAAGGTCAGGAGATCGAGACCATCCTGGGGTAACACCCGTGGAAACCCCGTCTCTACTACCAAATACAAAAAAAACTAGCTGGGCGTGGTGGCGGGCGCCTGTAGTCCAGCTACTGGGAGGCTGAGGCAGGAGAATGGCGTAAACCCAGGAGGCCGGAGCTTGTCCAGTGAGCTGAGAATCTGGGCCCAACTGCCACTCCAGCCTGGCTGCCGACAGCAGCGCAGACTCCGTGGGGTGTGTCTGCAAAAAAAAAAAAAAAATTAGTCGGGCCGTAGTAGTGCATGCCTGTAATCTCAGCTACTTTGGAGGCTGAGGCAGGAGAATCGCTTGAGCCTGGGAGGCAGAGGTTGTGGTGAGCTGAGATCGTACCACTGCACTCCAGTCTGGGCAAGAAGACTGAGGCCCTAGCTCAAAAAAAAAAAAAAAAAAGAAGACTTCTGAGGCCATGCACAGTGACTCACACCTGTCATCCCAACAGTTTGGGAGGGAGAGGCAGGAAGATTGCTTGAGCCCAGGAGTCTGAGACCAGCCTAGGCAAAACAGAGATGCCCCTATCTCTCTCCTTTTTTTTTTTTTGAGACGGAGTCTCGCTGTGTCACCCAGGCTGGAGTGCAGTGGCACGATCTCGGCTCACTGCAAGCTTCGTGTCCTGGGTTCATGCCATTCTCCTGCCTCAGCCTCCCGAGTAGCTGGGACTACAGGCACCCGCCACCACGCCCGGCTAATTTTGTTTTGTATTTTTTAGTAGAGACAGGGTTTCACAATGTTAGCCAGGATGGCCTCGATCTCCTGACCTCGTGATCTGTCCGCCCCGGCCTCCCAAAGTGCTGGGATTACAGGCGTGAGCCACTACGCCCCGCCAATTTTTGTATTTTTAGTAGAGACGGGGTTTCACTGTGTTTGCCAGGATGGTCTCAGTCTCCTGACCTTGTGATCTGCCCATCTTGGCCCCTTTTTCTTTTTTTTTTTTTTTGAGATGGAATCTCACTCTGTCACTCAGGCTGGAGTGCAGTGGCACAGTCTCAGTCTCAGCTTACTGCAACCTATGCCTCCCGGGTTCAAGCGATTCTCATGCTGCAGCCTCCAGAGTAGCTGGGATTATAGACACGTGACACGGCACCAGGTAATTTTTGTACTTTTTTTAGTAGAGCTGGGTTTTTGCCATGTTAGCCAGGCTGGTCTTGAACTCCTGACTTCAGGTGATCTGCCTGCATCAGCCTCCCAGAGTACTGGGATTACAGGCACGAGCCACCGCGCCCAGCTGGGTTCTTTCTGTTTTTTTGAGATGAGTCTCACTCTGTCGCCCAGGCTGGAGTGCAGTGGCACGATCTCAGCTCAATGCAAGCTCCACCTCCCAGATTCACGCCATTCTCCTGCCTCAGCCTCCCGAGTAGCTGGAACTACAGGCGCTGCCACCACACCTGGCTAATTTTTTGTATTTTTAGTAGAGACAGGGTTTCACTGTGTTAGCCAGGATGGTCTCGATCTCCTGACTTCACAAGACGAGGATTCTCTGAGGGCCTAAGAGTTAAAACCAGCCTGGACAACATAGCAAACCACGTCTCTATCTAAAAATAATAGGCCAGCCAGGTGCAGTGGCTCATGCCTGGTAATCCCAGCCTTTGGGAGGCCGAGCAGGGGATCACGAGGTCAGGAGATCGAGAGCATCCTGGCTAACACGGTGAAACCCTGTCTCCACTAAAAATACAAACAAGGCCGGCAGCGCGGTGCTCAAGCCTGTAATCCCAGCACTTCGGAGGCCGAGACGGGCGGATCACGAGGTCAGGAGATCGAGACATACCTGGCGAGACAACCGTGAAACCGTCTCTACTAAAAAAAC